AAGCTGATGGTGCCCGGCTATCAAAAGATATAGCATCTGAGGGGTCTTAAAGGCTTGAAGGTAAACAAGCGGCCATCTAGCTCAGAAGCAACAAATCCCACATGGGAGATGCACACCAGCCTGCGTGCTCAGGAGGTGCCGAAGGGATCAGTTATCAAGCATCAAAGAACAAAAAATCATTATCATTGTGTGCTCACCTCCTTGATGTGATTGCTGAAGGCAAAGCGGGTGCATAAGCAAATGTGGCGAAGAAAGCTGATGGTGCCCGGCTATCAAAAGATATAGCATCTGGGGTCTTAAAGGTTTGAAGGTAAACAATCGACCATCTAGCTGAGAAGCAACAAAGCCCACATGGAAGAAGCACACCAGCCTGTACGATCACAAGGTATCGAATGGGATCAGTTATCAGGCATCATCAGAAAAAAAATCTTATCATTGTGAATGAGGTGGGGAGTGCAGAGTGGAGACCCAAAGCCCATTTGTAGGCCACTGGACATCCCCTTACAGAAGGGTCTTGGGGAGGAGATGAGTCTGTCAGGGTACGATGTAGCAATGATGAAACATACAACTTTCCTCTAGTTCATGGTGACCAGATTTTAACATTGGTAAAGTGGGACACCATTGATAAAACTCATATCCTGGTGAAACAGCCACATGGCAGCCGAAAACCGTATACCCTAGCTTGTTGTGCATTCTTTCCAAAAATCGGGACTTTTTAAAAACACCACGGGACACGGAAATATTGTTAAAAAGCGGGACATCTGGTCACCTTACTCTAGTTCCTAAATGCTTCCCCCCTCTCCCCATCATGATTCCAATTCTACCTTACAAATCTGGCTAGACTAACGGATGTACACTGGTACAGATAGGAACTGGAAAAAATGGGAATCTGGGGTGGATGATCCCTTCAGGACCAGTGGTGTGAGTGGCGATAGTGGGAGGTTGGGTTGGAAAGGGGGAACCTATTACAAGGATCTACATATAATCTCCTCCGTGGGGGAGGTGAAGTGGGTGAAGGGAAACGTCGGACAATTTATAAATTATCAAGGGTTCATGAGGGAGGGGAGAGCAGGGAGGGAGGGGGAAAAATTAGGAGCTGATGCCAGGGCCTTAGGTAGAGAGCAAATGTTTTGAGAATGATGAGGGCAATGAATGTACAAATGTGCTTTACACAATTGATATATGTATGGATTGTGATAAGAGTTGTATGAACCCCTAATAAATTGATTAAAATTTTTTAAAAATAGTTTGAAATACTATTTTTTTACCAAGTTTTATAGAAATGCAGTGTTTTGGTCCACTTTTTTTTTTTAAAGCTGTGCTGCTAGCACAAGCACACAGAAGACTTCATTGTTGTTTTGGGGGAAGGGGCAAACATCACTAATAGGATGGCTCCAAACCTGGATGATGTGAGGACATCACCTTGCCCTGCTAGTTTTGAGAGACTCCCTCTGAGTTCCCAGGAAGAGGGATTCCCTGATGTGGACACAGGTTAGCAACCTTGACACAAACACAGCTTGGGAGAGGGAAAAAGTAGTGTTTCTTTTTACATCCTCCACACACTCTTCTCCCTCTCTGCCTTCAGCAAAGACTTGACTCCCATAAACCCAGAGACATGTGGGGACCTGACTTCTAAACATTGGTTAGCATACTGGGCGATCTGGACTTTCCAGTGACGCCATCCTAATGGCACCCACCCCTCACAAGAGCAGCGGGCTCCTGGGTTCAGTCTGTGGATCTTCAGATGGGCAATTCTGCTGTGTCCATTTCATGTCCTGAAAGTCAGGGTCCACTCAGGAAACGTTGTTAAAACAACATGCCAAATGTGCAATGTCAACTCTCACTCTAAACGTTTCCTGTTCAGAGCATCAGATACAGACTTCAGTGGGTTTTACAGTGGCTGTATGCTGCTATCAGGTGCCCATGTCCTGCCTGAATACCATGACTGTTTATGACAACTATCTTTAATAAAGCTGGATATAATTTTTGGGAAAAAAAATAATGAAAGAAAGATATCTTACATCTCAGGAAATATTAAGTTCATGAAAAAATTATCAAGCAACTAACCATCGATATAGTAAAGATCAGTCTTCGGCCAAGACAAAAGCGCAGGTATACAGTCAGCAATAAATTTTCTCTTTTCTTCTTTCACCAAAAATGGACCAAGAATTTGAATGGTATGCAAATTACCCTCTGTTAGTGGGAAAAACCTATTTAGAGAAAACACATAATTATTTAAATATGCAATTTTTTAGAAAATTCATCACATTCAGGCTGCTCAAAAAGACCAATAAGTCCTCTGTACAAGGGGAAAAATTAACTATGATAGTAAATTAATAATGTCTGATCCTGAGTGATGAAACTGAGCTTCTTTTCCTTTTCCTGTATGCTTATAGTTTTTAAAATAATCATATATAAGCTTTCTTCATGTATGAAAGTTCCTTTTTAATTATACAAGCAAAAACAATGTTCTATATTCTACTTTGGTGATCAATGACTAGGGTCCTAAATGCTTGTGCACAGCCATTTAAGGAAGAGAGAATAATGATGAGAATAATGACACACATTAAAACAACTAGTCCAATGGACTAATGGCCACACAAACATCAGCTTCCACAGTCCTGAAGCCAGAGGAACTAGATGGTGCCTAGCTCCCCTGCCAACTGCTCTGAAAGGGACGACATTATAAGGTCCTGGGTAGAGCGGGAGAAAAATGTGGGACAAACTCAAAATCCTAAAAGAGACCAGGCTTACCAATTGGACACTGGTGGGATCTTTAAGACTCTACAACCCTCCTTTTAGATTTCAAACTGAACTCACCTCCTTGTTAGAATAATCAACTATTCAAGATCAAAAGAGCAGCATTTACCCAAGGACATGGTGCAGAGGGTTTAGGAAAGAAAGAGAAATGAAAACAGGAAACACAGAAAGGAAGTGGAATAAGTGGCATTGCATTAAAGCAGTTCTCAACCTGTGGGTCGTGACCCCTTTGGGGGTCGATCGACCTTTTCACAGGGATCGTCCAATTCATAACAATAGCAAAATTACAGGTATGAAGTAGCAATGAAAATCATTTTCTGGTTGGGGGGGTCACCACGACATGAGGAACTGTATTATAGGGCCGTGGCATTAGGAAGGTTGAGAACCACTGCACTGAAGGGAGGGAGTGCAATGAATGAGTTGAAACAAACGTGGATGAATTGTTGAATGCAAAAATGACGATCTGCTCTCTAAACCTTCACCTAATGCACAAAATGTTACAAATAAAGTTTACAAGCAATACTTGATTGGGGTCTTTAATATTCTGTCTTACTGATATTCTCTTCAGTGAACACTCTCTTCACTGATATTCTCGTGTGTGTATATACATTTTGCTGTTGTTAGATGGCAGCTGAGCTGATTCTGAATCAGGGCAACCCCATGTGAATGAGTAGATCAGGTCTACAGGATTTCCTGGGCTGAGAGCTACAACGGTAACAGAGCGGCTCTGAACCACGATCTTTTAGTTAGAAACTGAGTACTGAACCTGTGTGCCACCAGAAGAATATAAGTAGTTGGGTTTTATTTACATAAAGGAGATCACACTAAACATTGTCCTGCTATGTGTCACTTAATAAAAATATATTTTGTAGATCATTCCATACCAAGGCATATCATTCCATATACTTCTATTGTAAAGCTAGTGACAAGGGGAAAAAAACTACTAAACAGCAATTCATACTCTGAATGTCTCACAATTTAACTATTTCTCTATTAGTGAACCTTTAGTTTCTTTTCCAAATTTTTGGTCTTATAAATAATGCTACAATGAATGTCCTCAACAGATATCCTGCACATGTGCAAATACCTCAAGGTTAGATTCTCAGACATCTCATTTAAAAATCATAGGATTTGAACGTAGTAATAACACGTTTGGCAGGAGTCTTGTGGTGGGACAAGTGGTTCAGTGCTTATAAACCAAAAGAGTTGCCTAACAAGAAACGCTGGTGATCTGATTCTGAAAGATCTTGAACACCCTTTGGAGCAGCTCCACTCTGTGCACATGGAATCTCCGGGAGTCAGACCCAACACAGTGGCACATAGCAACACGTTTTGGTAACTTCAGTGTTTTCTGATAAAGCTAAACAAATGTGCACTTTCACCAAAAGCTGCCAATCTTCTTCACTGCTGGATATATGGGGGAATCAAACATGCTTATTTGAATGTATATGTCTGTCATTACTGGTAAGTAAATAGTTCACATTTCATAATTGAATTACCTTGTCCGATACATTGACGATTTCATCTATAAAATACCTGTTACTATCTGTAATAGGTTGAACACACTGTGCCCCCCTAATGTGTTTGGCTAGGCCATGGTCCCCAGTATTGTGTGGCTTTCCTCTATTTTGTGACCTGATGCAGCTGTTCTAATCCCTGCCTGGGAGGAATAAAGCAAGGTTGTTGCTGTTGTTGTTGTTGTTGTGAGGCACCACCAAGTCAGTTCTGACTCACAGCAACCCTACGCACAACGGGAGGGAAGGCTGCCTGTTCCTGCGCCATCCTCACAATCATTGTTATACTGGAATCCATTGTTGCAGCCACTGTGCTGATCCACATCGTCAAGGATCTTCATTTCTTCTCTGTCCCTCCCGTTTTCCGAGATTGATGTCCCTCTCTGGTGGCTGGTCTGTCCGGATAACATGTCCAAAGGATGCAATACAAAGTCTCCTCATCCTGGCCTCCATGGAGCATTCGGGCTGTATCTTACAGATTTGTCTGTTTTCTGACAGTCCATGGTACTTTCAATACTCTTTACCAGTACCATCACTCAAATGCACCAATTCTTTGCCCCTCCTTAATGTCCAACTTTCACATGCATGATTGAAAAGTCCATGGCTTGGGCTGGCACACCTTCATCCTCAGTGATATCCTTGCCCTTCAACATTTAAAAGGGTCTTATGCATCAGACTTGTCAGTTTCATTTTTTGATGGCTGCTTCCAATAGCATTGATTATGGATGCAAGCACAATTAAATCCTTGACCACTTCAGTCATTTTCCTATTTAACCACAATGTTATCTATTGGTCCAGTTGTGAGGATTTGGGTTTTCTTTACATTGAGTTGCAACCCATCCTGAAGGCTGCAGTCACTGAAGCAGGATGAGGATGTTATAGGAGTGAGGTATTATTATGGTGGGATATCAGCCCACAACACTTGGATGTGGCTTGCAACACCTTTTAACTCCTACAAGATAAGAGATAAGGTGAGAGAAGCCAGCAGAGAGGGGGAGAGAGAGCTCACTACCCCCAAGAAAGAAGAGCTGAGAGCAGTGTGTGTCTTTGGCCCCAGGGCTCGGGGGTTGGGGGTTACTGAAGTAAGAAACTCCAAGACTCAGGGAGAGGACTGTGAAAAAGGCAAGAAGACATTTCTGTGTGTTCAAGTTCAAACGTGACTCACATTTCTGTTACAGTAGCATTAGAGAATTAAGACAATACCCTTGACATATTTTTCAACTTAGTTTTTTATTTACATATTCCAGATATATTTGCTAATTTGCAAATGTTTCCTCCATGTTGTCATTTGTTTCTTAATCTTTGTTTACTATATCTCAGATACCGTACATTTTTTATAAAGTGAAGTATCTTTCTTTCCTTTATGGATCCTGGATTTTGTGCTCTGCTTAAAATGATTTTCCTGCCCAGATTATACATTTTTTATTTCCCTTTAAACTTTCATATAACTGTTCTTCATATTTAGCTTTTTTAAATTTAGCTTTTAATGTAGACTTTATTTTTGTGCATAATGTATGGGAGGGGTCTCTCCTACAAAGCTAATTATCTAAAATAAATATAAAATTCTTCATTTTTTTTCCTCATTCCCTTTCATTTAATTCCTACATTTTCTAAAGCTGTGCTCTTGAAAACCTTGTGATCTTGATTTATTAGTGTTTTTTATGATTGGAATATTAATTTATTAGTGTTTTTAGGCATGAGTGACCAAGGTGAGCATTTATTACATTACAAAGTAAAAATATTTTAAATAAGAATACCTGTTTTCTCAAAATCATAAAAGAGACCAGGCATTCTAGTTGGACGGAGGCAGGTGCGACCCAAGACTATGGCCTTGTTTCCCCTTTGGGGCTGGAACAGAACTCCTCTACGTGAGAACACAGCCATTTTCGATCAAAAGGGCAGCATTCACACAACAGCGGCATACAGAGGTTCGGAAAGGAAGAGGAGCTGAACAGGAAACAGGGGAAAGGCCGTGATGGCACATTGAGGGGACTGAGAGGGATGAGTCGGAACAAAGTGTGAATGAATTGTCAAACATAAGACTGATGATTTGCTCAGTAAGCTTTCACGTAATTCACAATAAAAAGAAAAAAAATACCTGTTTTCTTCTCTCCTATACTGATGTTTTACATCCTCAGGTGTAATCCTTCGAACAGAGATCAACTTAATAATAATAAGAGACCAAAGGGTGCCATATACTTTGGATCTAAAAATGAAAAAAAAGTTTTTCTGTTTAAAAGTATACTTAGTGTCCTTTCTTAACACTAGATTCCTTTTACAGAATTCATTAAATCACTAAGTGAGAGCATCAATTCATCCCACACATCTGTACTAAAACACCTCCCATTATCCCATTGCTATTCTTTCTCAAGTGATACTGAGCTCTCACTCCAAAGCAATTCCACATCCCTCAAGGCCCAGTACGGGAGGTGATTTTAACGAAGACCAGTGGGGAAAGGACCTCTCTCTGGGTTGGATGAAGCTGGAGAATCAAGGAGATACTCATAACCACTGAGGAAGCTGTGCTGGGTACCTAGGGGTGGGAGTGAGGAGGAAGACTTGTTCAGCCGTGTCCTCTGATATGGTAAAAATACTACAGGCAACTGATAAACTTTTTAGTTGAGAGAGAAGTTCAACATAGCAATTTCAAAATGCTAACTGCTAGGAAGAAAGGCCCAGTGATCTACTGAAAATCATCCCATGAAAACCCTATAGACAACCACATTCTAATCCAGGGGTCACCATGGGTTGTGGGCAGATATGGTAGCAGCTAACAACAACAATCACAAAAATAAATCAAATTGCGGGTAAAAAAAGAAAGAAACTGAAGTGCTATAACCACATAAGGACTTCATTGTCACACCTTCTTCCTCATCCAGGGGAATGGGTTTTGTGCTTGTAATATTAAGACCCATCTAGAGCAATTTATAAGGTTGAGGTTGAAGTTGAAAGTAGTGAGAAGATGGGTTACAGACAACAACACGACCCTCATAAATATCTATTTCTTTCACTTTTAACTCCCATTGAATGTATTTACAGAGTAATCAAGAAAGGCAAAGTGCGAACATTTCCCTTGAAGAGTTCATGAAGTACTTAGTGCATATAGAGTATTCATTACTAAGCAATACATATTATCTTGTAAATTAGACCCTTTGAGCAAAAAATAGCTTTTATCGTATAAAAGTCAAAGCCATCACAAGTAAAATGGTCATAAAAAATGAAAATTCAAAGGGATTCTTACCTGTCAAATATCAGCTGCAAAAGGCCAGAAGTATTACCAAGTGCACATAGGTTATCATATGTGATATTCATTCTTTGAAGCATGTTACAATATCCACTTACAAAAACAGGTGGATTGTATAATTCTTCACACCACTGCAGGGAATAGAGGAGTTCTGCAACTAACAAAACGGAGGGCGCCAAGTTTTCAGGTGTACTTTGTAAACAAACCCTGCAGTCACTTTTATTTTTCCACCCCATTTTCTAACACTACTACATCCCATTTATTTCAAAACATCAAGGACCAAATTTTTAAAACAGCCTTCATTGAACACTGGGAATATCTGCCTGATACAAAATATCACATTCTCCCCAAATATTTGTCTGATATAAAATAGCACATCCTCCCATCTGGAGAAAGACATCATGCTTGGTAAAACGGAGGGGCAGCGAAAAAGAGGAAGGCCTTCAACAAGATGGGTTGACACAGTGGCTGCACCAATGGGCTCGGGGCACAGGAACATTGGCGAGGCTGGCGCAGGCCTGGGCACGGTCCTGTTCTGTTGGGCACTTGGCTGCTTTGAGCCCGAACCGACTCAGTGGCACTTACCAACAGTCCAAATCTTACTTGGTCTCTTCTGACTAGGAAGAATGTAGCAGGACCTCAATTATTGCAAATACCAGAATATTTTTCCTATTATTTCTGACACAATTAGTGAGGTGTCTCATACAAGATAAGCTCCAAGGGACACGAGACTTGAGATGAGAACTCATGCCAAGGTAGAAGATGGGTGATAACACGATACAGTAAAAGGGTACCGGCCTCCGACGGACGAGACTGCCTGGATTCAAGTCTGTTCGGCCACAAGCTTTACGTGCAGCTATCAATACTTCATAAGACTGGAGTAAGAAGTAAACCTTACACATGGTAGCTTTTTAATTCACAAACAGTCACAACTCCCTTGATGAAGCTATGTATGAGTTTTGAACTGGACATGAAAGCTAGTTCAAAAGTGAACCTTGTCCTTATAAAACAACTGACCAAGTCAAGATAATAATAGTACCTAACTTAAAAGGATCGATGAGAAAATGAAGTATTATAGTCAATTTGTAATTTGCATCACAATTAATAAAGAAATGAAGCATTATAAGGACTTGAACTACCATCTTTGTGTTTGGAGTTATTCTGTGAGCACATCTCCTGGGATGTGAACCTGACTGACCAAAAGAAAAATTTCAGTTGTTAGCCTCCATTTTTTCCCCACAGGTAATAAAGCTCTTGGCTTGGAAAAAACAGGATTGACACAGGTCTATGCAATTCCTCTACTTTGAATTGTATCTTATAAAAGTCATACTGCTATCCCAGAATCCCTCAGGACTTGTGGGGAGATAGTCATAAAGGTCAGCAGACAGTCCTGGAATTATGTATGCTTTTTCATTGTTGTTGTTGCTTTTGCTGGTTTCTTTTCTTTTTTTCTCTTTTTATTCAATCTTTTGTTTTCTTTTTGTTTTGTCTCTGTTATTGTTTTGTCTACCAATATAAGAAAGGCATGGGAAGCAAGCCCAAGGAGAAAGCAATAGCACCGACAGTTCCAGAGGGACCTTGAGGGGAGGAAGGGGCGGACGAAAGGAGTGGTGAGCAAACAGTGCCACAGACAGGGAACAACTAGGGAAATAAAAGCAACAGTGAGAAGGATGTGGAGATCCTGGGGGTGCTTTAGCATCAGCAGTCTAGCTGAGAGGAATTAAGAGGCAGAAGAAGGGCGAGCATGATGGTAGGGCAAGAGAAAAGTAAAAGGAAACAGAGGAAATATCTAGGAAGCAAAGCTATGGCAAGAGATATAAACATAGGTGTGTACTTATATAAATATGTTAATTCATAAAAATAGAGGTACTGGTGTATATACATATACTTACATGGCAATACACTGAGGAAGTAGACAAGACTTTGGGCCTCTACTCAAGCCTTCCTTCAATGCAAGAACACTTTGTTCTAACAACCTGGCATTCTTTGATGCTCACCCCTCCAACACAATCACTGAAGCCAAAATGGGTGCATAAGCCAATGTGGTGAAGAAAGCTGATGGTGCCCAGCTATTAAAAGATACAGTGTCTGGGGTATTAAAGGCTTGAAGTTAAACAAGTGGCCATCAAGCAGAGAAGCAACAAGCCCACATGGAAGAAGCACACCAGCCTGTAAAATTATGAGGCGCAGATAGAATCAGGTAACAGGCACCAAAAGACCCAATACAAAACAAAACAAAACAAAATAAAACAAAAACATACTGCTGAGAACAGGGGGAGTTGGAGCAGAGACCCAGAAACCATCTGTGGATAATGGGACATCCCCTCACAGAAGGGTTACAAGGAAGGGATGAGTCAACCAGGGCATAGTATAGCACTGATGAAACACACAATATTCCTCTGGTTCTTTGAGGCTTCCTCACCCCACACTACGATGAACCCTGTTCTGCCTTTCAGTTCTGGCTAGACCAGAGCACGTACACTGGTATAGATAAGAGCTCACAGAACAAAGAATCCAGGTTAGGTAAACCCATCAAGTATAGAAACGGGAGCAGTGATAGAAGGAGGGCAGGGGGAAGGTGGGAGGAGGAGGGGAGGAAAGAGGAACAGATCAAAATGATTGATGCATAATCCCTCCACCCCCCAGGGGGATAAACAACAGAAATGTGGGTGAAGGGAGACAGCAGTTGGTGTAAGATAAATTTACAATTTATCAAGGGGTCACAAGGGTGGGAGGAGGGAAGGGAGGGAAAAAAGAGGAGCAGATACCAAGGGCTCAAATAGAAAAAAACTCTTTTGAAAAGGATGATGGCGACATATGTACAAATGTGCTTGACACGATGGATGTATGGATTGTTATAAGAACTGTAAAATATGATAATAATAATTTATAAATGATCAAGGGTTTATGAGGGAAGGGGGGGTAGGGAGGGAGGGGAAAAAAATGAGGAGCTGATACCAAAGGCTCAAGTAGAAAGAAAATGTTTTGAGAATGATGATGGCAACAAATGTACTTGACACAATGGATGGATGTATGGATTGTGATAAGAGTTGTGTGAGCCCCCAATAAAATTATTTAAATAAATTTTTTAAAAGAAATGTAAAATAGCCTCCAATAAAATGTTTTTTTTAAAGAGCTGTAATAATAAAATGATATTTTAAAAAGTTATACTACTATCTAAAATTCCAAGCCATTTCCTACAATAAAAGTATCATGGCGATCTCATGTGTGTCAGAGTAGAATTATACTAAGATTCCGATGACTTTTCCCCCCAGAAGTAGATCCTTGGGCCTCTCTTCCAAGGCATTTTGGGTGAACTCAACCTGCCAATTTTTTGGTTAGCCACCAAGTGTTTGATTGTTTTTCAATATTCAAAGAGATAGGATTTCAACATTTGAATTTCACATTTATCAGGAAAATATAGCCCTCTGGATAAAAAGATTTAGTGGTTAAAAACAAAAGAACTGAAAATATATAATCTTTGATAAAACACCAGTTTCTTTCTTTCTTTTAGGGTATGTCCAATAAGCTCAGCAAATAGTAATACCATTCCAATTTAATTAACTGCTATATTGTCAAATCATGCTCTAAGATTAATAAGATTATAGTAAGATTTGGGTATATTTTCTTTTTTTTTTTTTTATATTTTCATCTAATATGAAAATAGGTTTAATACCACTTAAGTGACCTTAAATTCTCCTTCTCTAAGACAGTTAATAGGAAGCTACAGATTCTTTAATTATTTAAATTTTAAATTGTAATGTGATTTTAAACTGCTTCAAAATTATATCCATTCATTATTTAATACTAGATGCTCATATATACTTACTTATTTTCTCAATTTCTTTATCTTCTAGGATGCCTTCTTTTTTCAGTCCAACAAAGATCATTTTGCTCAATAATGCTGACGCACATAAATGGTTAGGAACTATATTTATATCTTGTACCACATAATCTACTTTGACACATTCATGATTCAAACTCAGTTTTCCTTCTAAAAGAGGCCTGTGAAGCCACTGTAAAGAAAAAAAATAATATACTACTAAATTGTATACAAAATCATTAGACTTTCTAATTATTTCCTACCTCAGCTATTCAGACTGGGAACAACATGTGTGTTTGTTTACGGTTCTTTAAAAAAACAAGTCTTGTTTAACTTTGTATCATGGGCCCTGCCCACATTTGCTGATACCTGTGAAGAGCTAACATCAAATAGTGATGGTTCAGAGGCATAAAGGCTAGTGAAGCGGTTCCTAAGGCCGTGACTCTTTATTATAATACAGTTCCTCATGTTGTGGTGACCCCCCCAACCATAAAACTATTTTCATTGCTACTTCATAAGTGTAATTTTGCTACTGTAATGAATTGTACAACCGTGAAAGGGTCGTTGGACCCCAAAAGGGGTCGTGAGCCACAGGTTGAGAACCGCTGGGCTAGTATGCGATTCATTTCATGTACTTTATTCTTCCTCAGGATAAAATTTTAAAAATAGTCGGGTCTGCTTGAAATCCAAACTCTAGAATGAGACAGGCACTCCTCACCCACAAACATACCTGCAGAGGGAGACACTCTCTCATCTGCTCCCATTCGCTGTCATTTGGTATAACACTTGCAATATAAAATCCTAGAAGAGCAGTATCATCACTCTCAAGAAGTTCTTCCAGGAAATCATCCACAGTAGACAAGAGAACTTGCAGCCTGACAGTAATGAAAAGGACTTACTGCTGTAGTTGTGCTGGGACTAATTTGAACACCCTCATATACATTCACTATCCCACTGAACAAGGAGACAGGCATACTCAGAAGTGACTCTCTGCGCTGGACACACACACTCAAACTAGGGACTTGATCCAACATTTCAGAGGAGAAACTGCATGATGCTGCTATCTCAAAATGAACAGGACCTGACTGGTTTCAGATCAAGTATTTCGTGCTCTTAAGAGCACGATGATCAAAAAAGGATCGGACCAATTCCAGTAACTTCTGGATGCCTTCACTTAGGCTCCATATAATGGATACCACACAGTTCAACAGTTATTACATTAAAGAGAGTTGATTCCACAATCAATTTTAGAACATTTTCTTCTTTCTTGTACTCACCGTAATTAACTCCCCATTTCCTGCCAACATTCCCTGCCTGTACCCTCAAGAAACTATTGATCGAGTTACCGTCTCTATAGATTTATCTATCCTGGATCCATTATACAGAAAAACATACAAAACAACAAAACCAACAATAACAAAGTAAAACAGAGGAAAACCTCAGTCGAAAGTACATCTTGATGTGAATGAATTATCGAGTTACATATGTGTATTATATGCTAATAGAACATTTTAACAAGGAAATAAAATAGAAAATATTAAAAACTAGAACAACTTTAAACTGGATCAAAAGTGAAATCAAAAGAGATGCTAAATGTTAACCGAGCTGCATCAGCAATAATGCCCTTTCCAGTACATTCCGTATGAAAGCAGGTCTATTTACATCCCTGGTGATGGTCAGAGAGGATTCACCAGGGGTGAAATACCACAAGTATTCCCTCTTCACTTGTTTTTTTGTTTGTTTGCTTTGTTTTTAACTGAAGCCACTTTGAAATTGATCAAAAGGGAGATCAAATGATATTACATTTTTATATCAATGCGAACGAGGGGGGTGCAGAGTGGAGACCCAAAGCCCATCTGTAGACAATTGGACATCCCCTCACAGAAGGGTCACAAGGAACAGACAAACCAGTCAGGGTGCAGTATGGCAATGATGAAACATACAACTTTCCTCTAGTTCTTTAATACTTAGGCCCCCTATCCCCCCACCCCACTATCATGATCCCAATTCTACCTTACAAATCCAGCTAGACCAGAGTATGTGCACAGGTTCAGATAAGAGCTGGAAACACAGGGAATCCAGGCAGATAAAACGCTCAGGCCCAACGATGAGAGCAGTGATACTAGGAGGGTAAGTCTGAGAAGGTGGGGGGAGAAACGGGGAGCCGATCATAATGATCTACACATAATCCCCTCCCAGGGAGACAGACAACAGAAAAGTGGGTGAAGGGAGACATCGGTCAGTGTAAGACAGGAAATAATAATAATTTATAAATTATCAAGGGTTCATGAGGGAGGGGAGGGGAGGGAGGGAGGGGGGAAAATGAGGAGCTGATACCAAGTTCTCAAGTAGAAAGAAAATGTTTTGAGAATGATGATGGCAACAAATGTACAAATGTGCTTGACACAATGGATGTATTGTGATAAAAGCTGTATCCCAATAAAATGATTTTTTTAAAGATATTACATTTTAATAGAAACATAATTGACTCTACACAATGCTCTGTATGTTAACAAGCCTATTCACATTTCTCAACTATGGTCACCAGAGGCTGAATTTATGTGTCGATCCTGCAAATGGATTTTGGGCTTCCACTGTCATCCATATCCTTCTGCAAACCAGGTGTTCACATTTTAAGTTCTGATACCATTTTATTAGGTTTCACTTTTACATATATTTAAGGGTTTTTTTAAAAAAAGAGTGAAATGTAATTGCAACTCAATCTCACAATAATAGATACCTAAAGCCAAAACAAACAACCAAGAACAATCACAATATCTAGTAACCAGTGAGAGGCTTTTGTTACAATTTATGCCTGTCTACAACACAGATTAGAACCCCCATCACGTCACTGGCCATAAAGTAGGAGTCTTTCCAAGCATATTCTATGAAATCATTCTTGAATTAAGTGGCAGTTTTGTTAATGATCATTAAAATAAAATCTTTGGGGACAAATTTGGTTGTATAGATCTTCTTTTGGTTTTTTTCTCTAACAGAATGTTTTTCACAGACACTCCCAAGACAGAATCTACTTATTTAAGAACAGTACTTATATATAAGAGCCTGTAAGGAAAAAAAATTAAAGACACTACAATCATTTTTTAAAAGATCACCTTTTGACATCCAAAGATGAAGACTGAACTTGACTCCTGAGCCAAAGAGCAGACTGCCGTAGGAAGGTACTCCTCTCGTAGGCACTGTCAGTTTGATGGATCAGGAAATTTAAGCCAGACAGCCACGTTTTTTTCAGTTTACTGATAAGAAAGTCTAAAAAAAAAAGCCAGCAGGAATTTGTAAACCCAATGGATTCACTGTTATCAGAAAATAAATTCTGTAGAACTCATTGCAGATAGAGATTTTTAAGATCTCATTTAACAAAGAAAACACAAAATTGATTTCCAATTGCCTATGCCATAAACATGTAATAATACATGCTAACTCATGCCACATAAATGTAAAAATTGTGAGGTTTAAGTTAGTTAAACCTTGAAAGTTAGTTCTTTCCTGCTAAGCTTATTATAAAATGTGTCTTTTAGAAATGAGAAAGATTATCCCTTTCCCAAAAAGAGATATCAACATTAGAGGAGGAGCTAGAAGCAGAGTTATTGTTTTTTGTATCTCTTTCATAAATAAATCAAGAATACATTCTGAAGCAAGCAATCTCAATTTTGTTTTGAGATACATTACGATTAAACATTTTTAACTATAAGACCAGAGAAAGAGATACTACTTCTCTCTTCTAAATGAAAAAACTGAGGCATTAGGCAACTTGCCACAACTATTGCTCCTTCCAAAAATATTCCTCATTATCATATGATAATTTTACAAATAATATCTATATACATCTTTAATTTTGTTTCTGAAGCTGAAAAATGTATAGAATCTATAACCCTTTATTGAAAATGCTTTTTATATTTCCAAATAATGACTCAACTGTTAATGCCTTAAACGAAAAAACAAAAAAACAAATCTCACTGCCATTGAGTTAATGCTGACTCATAGCACCCCAATAGGGCAGTGTTGAACTGCACCCATGAGTTTCCAAGACAGTCACTCTTTATGAGGGTAGAAAGCCCCACCTTTCTCCCGAGTAGTGGCTGGTGGTTTCAAACTGCTGACCTTGCAGTTATTAGCCCAACGAGTAACCACTACAGCACCAGGGCTCCCCTTTGTGAAAGCCTAGATACTTAGAAAAACTCCCTGGCATCAAGTCGATTCCGACTCAGAGGCACCCTGTAGGACAGAGTAGAACTGCCCGTGACTTTCTGAGGCAGTACATGTTTGCAGGAGCAGAATGCCTCATTTTCCTCCAGCAGAACTGCTGACGTTAGCTACTCAAAGCATAATGCACTATACCAACAAGAATCCCTGATGGTGATGTGGCTGCTAGTCAGAAGGCCAGCAGTTCAAATCCACCAGCTGTTCCACGAGAGAAAAATGAGGCCATCAACTCTCACAAAAATGTACATCCTTGGAAATGCAAAAGGGCAGTTCTACTCTGTCCTATGAATTATTATGAGTCAGAATTGGTTTGAGGGCAGTGAGGTTTGATTGTTGTTCTTGACGTACGTACGAGGAGCCCTGGTAGCAAGGCTAGCAGTTCAAAACCACCAGCCAAAGAGGCCAGTTCTACTCTGTACTGTGAGTTGCTATGAGTCACAATCAGTTTGATGGCAATGAGTTTTTTAAGGTACTTATGTTCACTATGATGGTCATACCAAAGATTCCCAACAAAACGTATTAGCAATAGACTATTACCTGGCAAATGTGTTTCTTCTTTACTCTGAGCACATAACTGAAAGAGTGTTAATAACATATCTTCAGATGGTGGCATAAGCAAACATCCTTTTGCTGAGCGGAAATAATCATAGGCCACATCACAGACATAAGCTATTGATGAGTCACTATTTTCAGCTTCTGACAATGTCTTTGTTTTGGACAAAGTTTCATGAAGTTTATTAATTATTCTTTTAACATATACTTCTCCAATCAAGTAATCTAGAAGGGAAAAAGTCCAAACAGACAAAAATTTCTAATATTAACTGTACCCGCCCCCCACCTTTTTTTTTTATGTGGTAAATACACAGATAACAGAACTAACGTTTTGTTCTTCTCAACCAATTATCTGCAAGTTAAGCAATATCCCCTATTAGAAAACCGAAAAAAGCCATATTCTTGCCTACCATTTTCAGAATGTTGGGATAACACCACACTTAGCAGGATCCATCTTTCTGAGAAGTAGGGCTCTGGAGATACTGTGGATTCCAAGTTCATGTTACATAAGTGATCTGCCAAGTTTACCAATTTCTCTCCAAGGATATCACCTTTTAGCCAGAGAGTTACTAAAGCACGTCTCTCTGAACTGGAACATGCCTAAAACCATACAAATTAAGGCAAAATTAGAAACATTTTAAAAAGTTACCTGTACCAAATACTACCATTGACTTCTCTTCATCACAGTGGTCTTAACACTGTGCCAAATTCTTCCTCCTTTTCCTCAAGTATAGGAAATCTAGTATCTTCCGTGTTCCCCATGTGTTGACTCACAACAAACCCATGTGACAGGCTGTCACCTGGATAAAAGCAGATCGCCAAGTCTCTCGCCTACAGAGCGGCTGGCGGGGTAGGGGGTGGGGGCGGGGGTTGAACCCTGGCTGATGACTGCTTCCATGCTTTGCTCATGCTATCTTCACTATCATAAGTATCCTATCTTCTTTATCAATACCCCATCCATACTTTGAAAGTCAGGATAAATTCCATCTGCTTCACCAAGTATTCCCCATCTTCTCAAAACCATGCTGATCCCTGCTTTCCTTTCCCTGTCTAAAGCACTCACTGGACTGCATTATTATTTGTTTTACCTATAGCTTGTCTTTCCAATGAGATTTTAAGTTCTTTAAGGGCAGATTTTGTCTTAAAATTTCTGATCCATGCTAACAACATTGTAGACATGTTCAAGGAGCAGTGAATGAACTCTGACAACAGATTTCTTAATGCTCCATAAACATTAAATTTTTGTTAAATACTTTTACTAAAATTAAAGAATGAATTTATAATAACATAATAATTTTCTCTAATATAAGCAATGAATGAAGTTTATTTTATATATTTTTGAATGGGGTTTATTATTTCCCCAAATTATGTGAAATAAAGTTACTAGGGCCAGGTATCTGACTGCAACTAGTTTATTTTCATAGGTAGGGAAGTGGGGAAGGCTGGAAATCCACCCCCAAAAGCATGCTGATCCTTGTTCCCAGAGCTTCTTTTACTTTAAGGGATGTGCAACTTGGTTCATCTCAAAGCAATCTGGAAAAAAAAGAAATCCAAGTGCGGATTGGGTAGTGACCACAAAACTTTTTTTTGTTTATTCTAAAAAACTGTAGGTCGTCAGACCTTATATCTTAGCCAAAGCTTACCACTAAACGATCTTTGTGATCTTGTATTATTTCTTAACCTACCTAGGAATTAAACGTTAACCTAGAAAAATTACCAGTTCCTTCTTGGTTCTAAGATTCAGATTTATTTGTTTCTGTAATTTTTAAAGATGTTTACATTAGAACTCTGCTCTTAAATCATTAGTTCACTTAAATACCAGATAAACAACTTCAGAGTTTAGTAAGTTTTCAGACTGGCATCTCTAGAAGAGCTTAGCAAATGAAAATGAATCCATTCCACAGAATGCTGGTAGAGAAAATAAACGACATTTAATTCAGAATGTCTCTCAAGTTAGCAGTCATGAAGTTTAACTTCTGCCCATGGGCGGCTACAGAGGCTGCTTACGGCCAGAAGTTCAGGCGGAATACACGGATTAAGAATTTCCACACGCTAAACGGAGAGAATAGTCTTGCGGGAAGTGTCTGAACCGCCTGGTGGGCAGATTCCTACTTTGGAAATAGATGCATCAGGTTACTTTTACAAAATGAATTCCCCTTGCTCTAACTCTAGGCTTATCCAGCAGCCTTAAGATTTGCCTTTCATGGAGCTTGCCCATAGGTACAGAAAGCACAGGATAAATTAATCCAATAGGTGTAATTTATAGTTTACTGAAAATTTTCAAATTTGTTCTCTGTTCATTTATTTTGTAAAAATAAACTAGTCAATTAAAAAACTTAGCTCACTATGCAAAAGAGAAAAATAATTGTTTTAATACTAAGGAAAACAGGAAGAATTTTGTAACTATTTGTCATTTCTATAGTTAAGAAAGTGTTTGATTTTACTTAAATCTTTATTAGGAAGGAATACATATGCCATATTTTATCATTTCTAAATTGTTTATGGTCCTTGACTGTCCATTATTCTTACCATTAATTTTCATGTTTGGTCAAGTGGCAATTACACAGATGGGAAGACTATGTACAAAGTATTCAAATGCAGGACGAATTTCATTTCCCTGACACTTTCTAGTCAATGCTAGAAACAGTGACTTTCACAGATAAAGAGTAACCCAGAAGTAGAAAGCTATGGCCTTAGTTTAAAAGGCAGTAAGATGTTTAACTTACTCTGGTACCTGCAAGGAACGGAACACTATGTTTTTCAAACCCTTTTTATTCTTCACCAACAATTCTAATCAGAAAAATACTACCACCAGAAAGGCAAATGCCCAATGTCTTCCCGAATTATGGAAACTTAGAAGAACAAAGAAGTTCTCTAATATGAAGTCCTGACTGCAAATTAGCATGTGAATCTGACTGGTTTTAATTTTTCTATGTCTAATAAAAATGTCTAAGATACCTTTTCAATAACCTGCAGAAGAGAACTCCATTTCAACTCCACCTGAAAGATGAAAAACAGTAAGAAACAGTCTACTAAAAGGAATATCAAAATTTTGATAAAGCAACTGAAGGGACCATATAACCTTTACAAAACTAAAACAAAAACTTTTTAAGCTAGGTCACACAAAAAAAAAAAGAAAAAGAAACCTCAACACCCTTGAGTCAATTCTGACTCATAGCAACCAGAATTTAGGACAGCGTAGAACTGCCCCTGCGGGTTTCTGAGACTGTAACTACATACAGTAGTAAAAAGCCTCGTCTTTCTCCCATAGAGGGGTTGGTGGTTTGGAACTGCTGACCTTGCGGTTAACAGCCCAATACGTAACCACTGCGCTGCCAGGGCTCCCTTTTTCCACTTAAAAAGTCAAAATACTTATATGCTTTTATTACCAATCTTTTGTCATCCTAACACACTTTCTGGGCCCAGCAATCTCAGACACTTTGCAAATCACAAAAATACACTGCCTGTCTTTACGCTGACCTTCTTAGTGGAGGGAAACTCCCAAGCTAAAAAAATCCCCTTGAAAATCTCATTCTAGCTATCCACTATTAAAACAGCCTAAAAGCAATACCTGTGTTAAATCATCCAAGATATCTTTTCTTTCCGTATTATTGTCACAGCAACGGAGGGCACTGTATAAAATGTCCATCAGGAAACCCGCATCCTTCCTTTGATCTTCATTTAGCCAACCAATTAATTTCTGGTACAGAAACTGCACGGCAGGATTTTTTTGTGCAAGCTTACTAATTTCAAGAGATTTGCCTTTGACAATACTCTGATTTTCATCACCTAGTAACACTTTAAAGACCTGGCTTGAAGAGAAGGTGCCTAGCAGATTCGAAAGAAACCTTAAATGCTGCTCTGACATTTGTTCATTAACAAAATTTATACTCATTTCCGCTAATTTGCAGACCAAGTCTTCCAAAGATTTCTTCCGTAGAGGAGACACGGCGTCGGAAGGAGGCTGAGTGAGAGGGTCAGGCACCAAGTCCGAGCCTTCGCTGTGCTCTCCCTCTGAAGACAGGCTTTTCTCATTCTCTTTGTGACTCTCAGGCATTTCATCAGCAAATCGAACCTTACCGACTTTTTTTTTATGTGACTTCAATGCACTCTTTGGCTTATGAAGGACCTGTAATAGATTAGATACTCCCAAAACAGACTGATCATCAGCTTCTGGCTCATTAATTTTCTCAACACAGATCTCTGACAGTTTTTCCCAGAAATTGAACAGTACTTTCTCCAAATTACGAGCTGCTATATCATCTTTTTCCTTGTCTGCTTTGGTTTCCCAGGAAGTCAAAGTATCACCTAAGTGGTTAAACATTTGTCCATTTTGTAATCTGGGCTCTTTGAGGACTGAGTCAATAAAAGGGATCAACTGAAACAGAAGATAAGAAATGCAATAAAATACATTTTTGAGAAAAGTAAAACTTAAACAAAGTATTTATTTATAAAACACTAAGGTTTCACATGACTTCTGAAAAAACATAAACCTTGCCCTAGAACTCTGAAAACAGTTATCATAATATAGATCGCTATCTTCGAATAAGTTTAATGATTTACTGGACTCTACCCCAACTACTTCTTTTAATGATATTATAAACAAATGATATAGTTTTCTTTGCATCTGCTGATCTTATTTTATTTACTGAGTGTTTTACTTTTCTGCCTGATATCAGTTGCTGTTCAAGTTGACTGTGATTCATGGCAACCTCATGTGTATCAGAGCAGAACAGTGCCCCATACGGTTTTCAAAATCTGAGGACTTTTTGGAAATAGATTTCTAGGCCTATAATAAGGTGCCACTGGGTTGATGGAAACCTCCTCCCTCTTGATTAGTGGCAGACATCTCTATTTGTACTGCCGAGATATGACTTAAGTCATTGTTCATAATACCTATGGCCCACAGAACTCAGAATCCTATTTCTTAAAATAAAATATAGGGCAAATTAGCCATCTGAGACATCAAGTAGAATCTGAACTTCGGTAATCTCATTAATTAGTTTCCTACTACAGTGAACCCTCGCCACTTCGCGCTTCGACTTCCGCGGCTTCACTCTATCGCGGTTTTTGCGTAACAGCGCATGCTCTGTCATTACTGCCACTGATTGGCTCATACTGTACACGTTTCTGTCTGCATCGCTACGTATCGGAGCTACGTATCAGATGCATTTTTGCTTTTGTACAGTGTACTGTAATTGTTTGTGATTTTTAAGAAATTTTATCTAAGCCCTATGATGGCTCCTAAACGAGCTGCTTCTTCTAAGCCTTCTGACAATAAAAATAAGCGCCAGAGGAAGATGATCACCATTATGAAAAGGTAAAACTTTTGGATATAAGGAATCCTACTTCGCGGAATTTCATTTATCACGGTAGAGTCTAGAACTGATTAACCGCGATAAACGAGGGTTCACTGTATACTAAACCATATTCCAGAACCTGCTTTTATCACTGGTTCTAAATCAAACCTAAAATCATTAGCAGTATTTTAGGATAAGATGCGTACGGTATAATTAAAGTTTAAAAGATAATAACGGGAGGGGGGAACAGGGAGGGAGGGGGACAATGAGGAGCTCAAGTAAAAAGCAAATGTTTTGAGAATGATGAGGGCAACAAATGTACAAATGTGCTTGACACATAATGGATGTATCTATGGATTGTGATAAGAGTTGTACAAGCCCCCAGTAAAATGATTTTTTTAAAAATAATTGTTTTAGACTGCAGCTCTCTAAAGTAATCAAGATTTTTACACCCAAAGATTGATTAATCCTGTTATTTTATAAAACTAACAACTGACTGTAGTTTTTTAACTTATTGGGTCAGAAATACATATTACTCAATTTGCGTATTATAAATGCAAAATTGTTACTAAAAATGCTACTTAATGACAAGAATAACAACAATAAACATAATTCTTTATGGTCAAGGTACTAGAGATGTTTATGTTATACACACCTGATCATTGACAAGCATCTTTTCCATATCTTCCTCACCCAAGTTTTGCTGCATTATAAAACGTAAGCATTCAAAAAAAGCAGCTGCTACAGCTGAGCACTCGGAAAAGCTGGTTTTGATTCGCTCTGTGGACATCCTAAGAAATTATAAACAACCATGGCTTACTCTCACATTAAAAAATAACTGAGAACTTAAATCACAGAAAAGTCCTTAGACCAAAAGAGGATATGTTATCTAATAAAAATTTTCAATGAAAAACTAATGGCAAGCAATCTATTCTGACTGGCATATAATTTGTAGAATTGTGTACGAAGCTTATTTTCAAAAATGTTTTGACAAAGCAAATGAATATTTCCTCTTCTATGTATCAAATATGCAAAACAAAAAGCATCATTTGAAAAGTGGCCTATTTTTATCTACAGGTCTTACCATATAGCAAACTTTCTGCAGGTCATACACTACAGCATTGACTCAAGTTCAGAATTAAAATTTTAAAGAATTTTTTTGAAGTGTTTAATAAATAGCAAAACAATTCGAGGAAAATTTAAAAGAAAAGATGATAATTAGTATGTCACCCTAATACTATGGCAACAAGAAAAGCCCTTTTGCTTTACAAATCAAGAATTAACTTCCTTACCCTGTTCCTATAGAGGTGAGAAAATTTTTGAAGAAATCCAACTTTGGATCTGTTATGGACTGAGGGAGTTTGCTGATAAATGGCAACAGATACGGATATATCACAGTAGCCAGGCCCCGACCACCTTCCCGGACTATAGCTGACAGCTTGGGAAACACGCTTTTTTTTGCATTGACATGCATCCAACAGTCCTAACCAAAGAAAGCAGTATGCAATTAGAAATCATTCAGTATCATTTTCCCAGTCACCAGTAAGAGAAAAACATGTAGGCTCTCAAATATAAAAATCCTTCATTTTACCTTAAAAATCTCTCAGTACCATTACAACTAAAACACTGAAATTATAAGATTTATACTACAGTATTCATGTATTCCACAGCTTATAAGGCAATATTTATCAGAAATGATTTAATTTAAAAGATTCCTATGGAATGTGCTTTCTAAAATAATCTGTAATTTTAACGACAAGATTCACGTATGCTAATTATACTGGGCCACATATGGTTAAAACAGTGGTTTCTCAACCTTCCTAATGCTGCAATCCTTTAATACAGTTCCTCACGTTGTGGTGACCCCCCCAACCATAAAATTATTTTCGTTGCTACTTCATTAACTGTAATTTTGCTACTGTTATGAATCGGGCGAACCCTGTGAAAGGGTCATTCGACCTCCAAAGGGGTCGCGATCCACAGGTTGAGAACCGCTGGGTTAAAACAATAGATAACTAGGATGAAAGCTTTGTGGCGCTTTTTGGTCAGTTTAAGATCTATGCCAAGTATTAAATTAGATACTATATTGCCAAGAAAGCATCTTTCTAGTGTTAGATAATCTGATATTCACTCTCATGTATAATATCTATGGCTTCTAAAATACAATAGTAAATAACAACAACGAATACAGCATTCACCAATGTACCTCCCTTACATACCTCAATAGTTGTAAGTGTATACAGTACGGCTTCCCAGAGAGCCGGGCACACCATAGGATCACTATCATCAATGCTAAGTAGAACAGATGGGCTCACTTTGGATGCTTCATCTTTCATTAGCTGTGGAATACGCTGGCACAAAGCTGAAACTAATTCAAAATAAGCTGAGCGGATCTGCAGGAAGAAATAGAAAGCTGAGTTAAATCACAGCCTAATGGCAGCTTGTTGTACTACAGTAGCAGGGTACTGTTCATGCTGGTAGCCCTTCACCAGTCTCTGAAACACCAGCAGATGCACTCATGGTAGCTTCAAGACCAAAATAGACTAGGAAGAAAGGCCTGGTGATCTCCTTCTGAAAATCCAGAAGTAAAAATCTTCTGGATCACAACAGAATGCTAGCTGATACAATGTTAAGAGATAAACTTCTAGATGCAGGACACAGTCACTACAAGACTTAAACATACTAGTGATCACGAGGATGATGTAGGAGCTGGGAACATTTTCCTCTGCTATACACTGGAGTCCCACAGTGCCTACAAAGATATTAGGAATCACCAGGCCAAAAGTGAAAACAGAAAGAAATAGGTCAAATTTCCATTTGTTTGGCTGAAACAAACAAATCCACTCTAGAACCAGATGACTTCCCTTGGGCCTCACATTATTCTGACCAGTACAGTGACCAGCAGTGTAGTTAGTGGTCAAATCTATGCACTACACCAGCAAAAGCAAGAAACAACACACAGAGCTAAGACTTAGGAATATAACTCTATTATAAAATCCATACCTTATATACCTAAAGAAAAAAAAAGTTCTTAAAAATCTGCAGGGCACAGGATTCTAGAAAAGTATTTTATCAAGTTTGAAAAAGAACCAAACGCACACAAAAAAATCATTAGGGGTTCATACAACTCTTATCTCAATCCATACATACATCAATTGTGTAAAGTGCATTTGTACATTCACTGCCCTCATCATTCTCAAAACATTTGCTCTCCACATAAGCCCCTGGCATCAGCTCATTTTTTCCCTTCCCTCCCCACTATCCTCTCCCTCATGAACCCTTGATAATTTATAAATTATTATTTTGTCATATCTTGCCCTGTCCCACTTCTCCCTTCACCCATTTTTCTGTTGTGCGTCCCCCCAGGGAGGAGGGTACACGTAGATCTTTGTAATCGGTTCCCCCTTTTGACCCCACCCTCCCTCCACACTCCCGGTATCACCACTCTCACCACTGGTCCTGAAGGGATCATCCGTCCTGGATTCCCTGTGTTTCCAATTCCTATCTATATACCCAGTGTACATCCTCTGGTCTAGCCAGATTTGTAAGGTAGAGTTGGAATCATGATTGGGGGTGGTGGTGGCCTGGAAGCATTTAGGGACTAGAGGAAAGTTGTAGGTTTCATCACTGCTACACTGCACTCTCACTGGCTCGTCTCCTCCCCACGACCCTTCTGTAACAGGATGTCAAGTTGCCTACAGATGGGCTTTGGGTCTCTGCTCCGCACTTCCCCATTCACAATGATAGGATTTTTTATTCTTTGATGCCTGATAACTGATCCCTTCGGCACCTCCTGAGCAAGCAGGCTGGTGCGCTTCTTCCATGTGGACTTTGTTGCTTCTGAGCTAGATGGCCGCTTGTTTACCTTCAAGCCTTTAAGACCCCAGATGCTATATCTTTGGATAGCCGGGCACCATCAGCTTTATCCACCACATTTGCTTATGCACCTGCTTTGTCTTCAGTAATTGCGTCAGGAAGGTGAGCATCATGGAATGCCAGTTTAATAGAAGTATTCTTGCACTGAGGGAGTATTTGAGTGGAGGCCCAATGTCCTTCTGCTACCTTAATACTAAATCTATACATATATGCACATAGATCTATTTCCGCATGCTCATTTACATATGTACATGCCTGTATTTAGACCTCTATAAATGCCCCTTACCTCCTAGCTCATTCCTCTATTTCCTTTTACTTTCCTATTGTCCCACTATCGTGTTCAGCCTTCATTAGGGTTTCAATAATTCCTCTCAGTTACATTACCCTTGGTCATGCCCTACAAGGCCTCCTACACCCTCCTCACCACCGATTTGGATCACTTGTTGTTCCCTTGTCCCTGGGTTTGTTAACACCACTATCTTTCCCCACATCTATGTCCCCCTCTCCCATGTCCCCCCAGAACTGTCGGTCCCATTGATTTCTCCTCTAGATTGTTCATCCAGCCTATCTTATTTAGACAGACCTACAGAGATAATAACACGCACAAAAATAAGAGAGCAAAACCAAGCAACAATATACAACAAAACAACAACAACAAACCAATGACAAAAAAACAAACAAAACAAAACACAAGAAAGAAAAACTTGTAGTTAGTTCCAGGACTGTTTGTTAGCCTTTACGAGCCAAACACAATTTCTAAACTAAAAACAAACAAACAAAATCCACTGCCATTGATCAGATTCCAACTCAGCGAGAGTTTCTGTGACTGTAAATCTTCACAGGGGCAGAGAGCCTCAAACTTCTCCTGAGGAGCACCTGGTGAGTGTGAACTGTCAACTGAAGGGTTCCTGGTGGTGCAACAGTTAAGCACTCAGGTGCTACCTGAAACATAGGAGAGGTGTGGTTCAAACCTACTTAGGGGTCAACGAGAGAAAGGCCTGGTGATGAGCTATGAGTCAGGAGACTGGACGGCACTAGCAACACCAATAATGGTCACCTGAGTTTCAACAGAAACTAAGGTAAGGGAAGGTGAGGGAAGGACAGTCACACCATACCCACACATTTATGCTAAGTGGATCACAGACCTGCAAGACACCGAAAGCAAAAACTGCAAAAGTAAAAGTGATACTACACTACACACATTTAAAACATCTGCTCTTCCAAACCAATAAGAAAAAGGGAAGCTACAAACTGGAAGAAAACATTACTGATACTTTTATTTGATGAAATACTTGTTTATCTACAACCTTCCTCTAGTTCCTAAAGGTTTCCTCCTCGCTCCCACTACCATGACTCGAATTCTATCTTGCAAGACTGGCTAGACCAGAGGAGGTACACTGGTACAGATAGGAACTGAAAATACAGGGAATCCAGGACGGATGAGCCCTATAGGACCAGTGGTGTGAGTGGCAAAACAGGGAGGGTAAAGGGAGAATGGGTAGGAAAGAGGGAACCGATTACATGGAACTGTGTGTGACCTCCTCCCTGGGGGACAGACAACCGAAAAGTGGATGAAGGGAGAAGTCGGACAGGGCAAGATATGACAAAATACCCATTTGTAAACTATCAAGGGCTCATGCGGGAGGGGGGAGCGGGGAGGGAGGGGGAAAATGAGGACCTAATGTCGGGGGTTTAAATGGAGAGAAAATGTTTTGAGAAACGATGTACAAATACGCTTTACACAAATGATGTGTGTATGGATTGGGATAACAGTTGTATGAGCCCCTAATAAAATGTTAAAAAAAAAAAAAAGAAATACTTATCTAAAACCCACAGCATAATATAGACAATGTTCAGGATTCAAACTAAAATGAATTCCCTTACGAAGAGGCGGGGAAACGTGATTAACATCTCAAGGAGGCAGAAAATTACTTGATGCCAAGCCCAAGATGATCCAAATGTCCCTTCCATACAGACTTTTCAGCAACTGTTAAAATTATACTCGGAAATAAAACATGGTAATACTGAATGAAAAAATAAGAAATAATGTCAATTTTTAAAAATTTGAGACAGAAAACATATAGAAATGAATATTTGAACACCGTCACACAGAATGAAAGATAGACAGATGGCCAACAGCACCTTAAAAAATTCAGTATTGCTATCATCAGAGAAATGCTAATTAAAATCAAAGTAAGAAATCCCTATCCCAGTGGCCAATAAATATTTTCTATAAAGATTCAAAATGTATCTTAAGCTTTACAGGCCACCTACGTATGCAATACCTATTCAATCCTGCTTCATAGCACAAAAGTAGCCACAGAAAATTAGACCAACTATTTACAATTCCAGACTTGACCCATGAACTGGTTTTTACACTTTTCCCCAAAGAGAAGGACTTAAATTAGAATGGCTGACAAGCCCAAATGCAAAGCTATGTAGAAAATGAATCTCTCTCATGTTGCTGGTACAAGTGTGAAGCAGCACAAAATCTCTAGAAAGCAGTCTGGCAGCTTGTTCTAAAGCTAAATAGATACTTAGCATGCAACTCATCCAATTCCTTTCCTAGGTAGGTGTTAACCCAAGAAAACTGAAAGCATCTATCTAGGACAAGACCGTACAAAGATGTTCATACTAGATTTATTCCTAATTGCAAAAAACAGAAATCCAAATGTTGGTCCAGAGTGGGTGCATAATTAGTGGAGGACTGGATGAACAAAGTTTGGTACACGAACACAACAGAACATTACTCACGCTGCAAAGCACCTCATAAAACAGATGAGCCTGGAGGACGTAATGCTGAGTGAAATTAGTCAGTCACAAAGGACAAATACTGTATGAGACCCCTACTGTAAAAAGTCAAGCAAAGGTTTTCATATCAAAAGAAGCATTCTTTGATGGTTATCAGGGGCCGAACAGAAAGGGAACGGAAGTCACAGACTAGAGGGAAGACAATCATTAGCTGGGATGACAGGGAAGGCAATACACAGAGAGGGGTGGACAGAAACGATGAAAGCAGGAGAAGGCACTGTGAAGATTGCAAGAATCAAGGTTTAATACAAGATACTTGTAATGTAAAAAAGTATGATTCAAAAACAAGGTACTATTATTATTTCTCTTATTAAAGAAGAAAAATTGAACCAAAAAGAGAACAAAAAGCAACTTACCTAAACAGACTAGGAAAAATCATAATGCTACATTGACTGGCATGGGACAAAATGACAAACGGAGCAAAAAGCAGAGTTCAGAGGCAAGTTTATGAAGGTACGAGAAAGTCCCCAGGTGGCATAAATGGGGTGCACACAACTTTCAACCCTGGCAGCAGTGAGTGGCAGGGAAGATAGGCCTACTCCTGTTAGCACTGCAGCACACAAAGCCCCTGGAGCAGTTCCACTTTGTACACAGGGGACAGTCACGAGCTGGAATCAACTGCCAATAATGGAGGACCATAATCGTGGTACCACGAATCAGTGGAGGAAAAATACACCGTTTACTAGATAATGTTAGAAAAAATGGC